TATCCAGTTGTTTTCTTCTTTAAATTCTTCTCTAATCAATTTAATATACTTGTTATTTCTTAGCACCTATTTTAGATAATTTACTCTTTTGACTTTGTTGTTATCTGCAGATTGTATACTAGAATGTTTGCTTTAAATAAATTATTTTAATTATATGCTCTATTTTCTAGTGATTACAAGTTATCTTCTAATAATATTACTAAGATTTGATTTTCTAAAACTATAATATTTTTTTTTTGTTTTTGGATTTTTTTTTAAGCTTTTTTTTTATATATTCTTTTATTATCTTTGAGTATATTCTTCAAGAGTATTTTTTAATCTTTTTTGAACTTCTTATCCTTAAACTTTGTTTTATTTATACCTTTTTTCTTAACTGTTTTAGAGTGTGTTACTAGTATTTGGTTTGATATTTCTATATCTGACTGGTTCTTCTTCTCTATATGGTTACTGTTTTAGTTAGTTTTGCTGATTTATAAGACCTCAAATCTTCTTCTTCTGATTATTGCTCTTCTTTTTGTTATTATTTTTTTGTATTTATCTCTTGAGACTTTTCTACTTTGCTTTTTTTCTTTATATCTTCATCTTGTTTGTTTCTTTTTATATTTGTTCATTGTTCATATTTGTTATATAGTTTACTGTTTTCGGGTTTTTATAAGTCATTTTGACTTTAGTTGCCTATTTTTTAATCAAAATATCATTTGAAATTTACTTTCTTTTTGTCTTAATAGACTTAGTATTTGACTATAGATTAGTAAATCTATTGCTATAATTTTGTTAGAATTTATTATTGCTAGACTTTTGATTATATATATATTTTATTTAAAATGTAAGACATTATTGTTTTTAGTTCTTCTGTTAATATCTCACTATTTATAAATCTTAAATTTTTGATATCTAATCTACTAATACAATATAATATCTCTTATTTGTATAACTCTTTCATCTTATATGAGTGACAAAAAGGGAAAACCTGTAAATCATTTCACATAATAAGTGAAATGATTTACAGGTTTTCCTTTTTCGTCACTCATATATTATATCTAATTTGATTGACTTTTGTTTATCTAATACTTATTCTAAGTCTGTTTTCTTATTTGATTTTATATATAATTTTTTGGTTTATTGTTATTGTATGACTATTGTCTTTTCTAAAATAAAATATGTTTGTTTATTTGTTTGTTATTGTTTGCTAGTTATGTATTGTATGTTTTTGTTTTTAGAAGCAAAACAATTTTTTATAATTTATATAAAATTTTGTTAAAAATTTTCTAAAAACTATAAAAAAGACTGAGCATTCAAGTTAATAGAAATTTATTTTATTTAAATATATATTTTTTTGAATACTAAATCTTTGTTTTTAGAAGTATTGTTGTTTTTTAGTTTTGAATTTGAGATTTGTTTGTACTTTGTTTAGTACTGATTTTGGTATTATAGATTAATAAAAAGAGAAATACTCTTTTTAATTTAAACTTTTATAACAATATAATACATTTTTTATATTTTTTGTTTTTTTTTATAAAAAGTAAAAATTTAATTGATTTATATTAAAAGGTAATATTGTATATTATTTTTTTTATAGTTATATGTTTGTTTTAATATGCTAAATAAACAACAAACATATAGATTAGTCAATTATATAAAGCAAATCAAAAAAAATTTAAACTAAAAAGACTAAAAATTTATTAAAATATGCATATAATCTGAAATTATATATATAATATTTTTTAAAAAAAAATAATTATAGAAGTTTAAATTTAAATCTAAACTACAAGTTTTATTCTTAAAAACAAGAAAAAATCTTGTAAATTATTTTTGTATTTTATAAATTTTTAAAAAGAAGTAGCATTTTTGTAAAGTTATATTTAGAGAGATTTAAAGCTAATTGCATCATATAAACAATTTATTTATATACTTTAATTGATAATTAATTTTCAAATAAAACTATTATATATAAACCTATATAGTAAATTGTAATCCATTTTACTATAAAATTTAATATAATCAAAAATATTATTTTATATAAACAATAGTTTGCTTTCATTAGTCAAAAAATATTTTCTAACAATATCTAACATTTACTAATTAGATTTTAATTATTTTACTACTATTAAAATCAAAAAATAATAATTTACAAGTTTACTTAAAAATTAAAAATATATTTACTTTGTTATAAAATAATATTTATGGTTTAGCAATTTTATATAGTAAATCATATAATATACGATCACAATTAATTAATTATGTATAATTGCTTCATTCAGAAATGGATTATTAATTAAAGAATACAAACCTTGATTATTTTGTTTAACATTAATTCGTACTATATTTTATGTGTTAATTAATCTTATAGAAGTTAATTGTCAAGGTAGCATAAATGTGATTTAGATCAAATACATGTAAGTTATATTGCTTAACTTAATGATAATATAAGGTAAAGGTTGTAATTCGTTTTTAACAGAAAAAATCGAATGAATAATTAAAATTAAAGCTTCGCTAATAATAATTAATTTGACAATACTGCATAAATCGTTTGGCAATAGATTATTCGTATTTCTAATTATTGATTTACAATTATTATAAAACGCACCTATGGTGTTTTGTACCTATTATATGTTTTTATTATGTTTTTTTAAATTTTTCTGACTTAAATTTTTTCGTTTAGTAAAATTCATTGATCAACATATCACAGTTATTGATCCAATTACCATCTGATTGGCTGTCGATCCTTGAAATATTATTGGCTGCCTATAGTAAACGTTCAATATGAAATCATATGAACGAAAATGATTAAATCTGATGAATTCAAGTCACTTCAGAGAACTAACTTTCATTAAAGTTGTTTACTATAAAAATTTAGTACTTGTGAATAGCAAGTATTAAATTTTATAGTAAATAGCTTGCGAAACTTTAATTAAAGTTAGTTCTCTGAAGCTGACAACATTCAGCGATTTATCTTGTAATTTCATATAGAACGTTTACTATAGGCATCCAATAATATTTCAAGGATCGACGGCCAATCAGGTGGATTTTTAACTATGCTGTGATGCTCAAAAACTAATGTTTAAACCGATCTTGGTGCACTAATTAAAACCGTCGAAAGTAAAATTTTACATGTAAAGAGTGAACTCTATTTTCATCACGCACTGTTTGTTAGGTTGTGTTGCGAAATAAGTAACGGTAAATTCAAATTTAGTTTAGGATCTGTTCTGGTTCTAATTACATACTTAACATGTAAATAGTGAAATATTTGAGCGACGCAAAGGGAAATCAGACTTTGGCCATTTAAGTTTTATAACTTACCGACTCTGATTCTGATTTTTTCAGAAATTGAGTTCGGTAAGTTGTGAGTTTAAAGCCGAAGTCAGATTTACGTCACTTGTTCCCGTATCAAATTATTTTTTAAAAGCTCGAGTCATTATATGAGTTCTGTCAAGAGAAATCTGACTTCAGTTTTAGATTTATGGGTTTACAAACTTTGTTCCTGAAAAATCTAGTTGGCGATAAAAGGAAGCATAATTAAATCTACTTGCATATATTAATCAGATTTTTTCACTAAGCATAAACATGAAGGCCTTAAGTCTAACTTTCCCTAATCGTATCAAAAAATAAGAAAAAAATTAGAAAAATTTTCTTTCTTAATAAGATACTGTACAATTTATTTATTTATCAAATGTTAAAAAATCCTTAGATTAGAAAAAAAATGCTTTTTAGGTCTTTATTTAAAAAGTAATGAATTGCCACATGATTCACGAAAATATGGATATTTTCTTGTCATGTTAGTTTTAAAGGTCATTATAGATTATCTTTCCAGTTTAATAGTTTATATCAGCCATGACAACATATTGATATATGGGAATCCCACAGCAAAAGGTGCAATGGGACAAAAATTTTAATTTTGTAATTTTATAAACATTATATTCTTATTGACCTAATTCTTCAGAAATTATGATAAAAATTTTTTGGACTACTGCTTCCTTTTGTCGTGGAGCCCATATACTGTTTGTATTTATACATAAAACCCATAAACCTATAACGATAAGCCTGATTCTAAAATTTGAACCTGATTTTAATATGTAACTAGGTTCCAAAACCAAGTTCTGTTCCGAACCTAAGAACTTTGTGTTTGTTAATTTCGATTCAAGAAAAATCTAAGAAATCACCTTTTGCACAACAACAAAATTTTTTTGCAAAATTTCGCTCATTAACCCTAACTAGGGTTCCAAACCGGATTGAAAATCTTTACCCATGACCCGTCGGGTCAAACATTTTCATCAACCAAGTACCCGAAATTAAAACCGAATACCCGATTAAAACGGGTTATCCGGTTATCTAGTTCTATCACACCCGAAAAATTTGGTACTAAAAGACAATTAGACGAACTATCACTATGAATTCAACATGAACATATCCTGCGTTATGAAATCTACACAATTAAAATATCATGAAGCATTTTTGATTTAGTCTTTCAGGTAATTTGTTCCTAGTTGCACGTACCTATGTAACGGCACACAAAAACCAATTATTTATCCAAGCACAAATTACAGTTGTTTTCATAAATTCTGGGATAGCTGAACAATTTTTGATGATCGAATTGAAAAGTTACCAAGTCAGAATTAATAAGTCACCAAAATGAGGACTTGCCTATTCGTTCATCGGCAATTTTTTCAGATGTCCCAGAATTTATGAAAACAGCTGTAAAATTCTAGCCAATAACAATTTCGGATCACCCGACTAGTAAAAGGTTTCAGGTCAACCGATTTGCTAAAAGTCTGACCCGGTTGACAAAAATTTCGGGTCGGGTGGTCGGATACACGGTTACCCGGATGGCTGTTTGGATCCTAACGCTAACCTAACCCAACCCATATAATAATATCACATCTCAGAACTTTGCCATTCCTAGTCAAATTATCTGCACATATGATTACACATCAGATTTGGAATCCCGATTTAGGTGTCCACCATTAATATTTTTCAGTGTCTGATCCTTTCGATTTTCAACCATGGAGTTAATTCACACGGACATAGATGAATTACCTTCGGTAAGAATTTTAGTAATGTATTACTAAGCAAATTAAGTATCTTTGAAATTAAAACCAAAATATCATTACTTTAGATTGTCCAAAAACTTCGAAAATCGTTCCATTCTAATTTGACGAAACCTTTACGCTATAGAAAAGAACAATTAGGGAATTTGTATCGTATGATTGATGAGAATGAGCAAGCATTTTGCGATGCTTTGTACAAAGACCTTCATAAACATAAATACGAATCTCTGCTCGGCGAACTAGCTTGGGTTAAGCAAGAAGCTTTAGATACCACTTCAAGCCTCAAAAACTGGGCTGAACCAAATTATGTCAAAGTTAACTTAGGATACATGATGAACAAGTGTCATGTGAGAAAAGAACCAGTTGGTAGGTTTTCCTACGTACATCATCCCTCCTTTAGTATATTTTTAAAAGAACTTATGTAAATACAAAAAATGTTCTATGGACAATGTTGCTAGCCAAGTATCAACATTAGAGAAGAATGACTATAATAAAGACCTGTTAATGCTACCCCTATATAACTCCAATTAATCTTTAATCTTTCCGGAAACTATAACAACGCTTACCCTAACTGCTAGCTAATCAATCATATGAGTTTGTATTGTCTCTAAGTACTGTCAGTAGAATTTTTAGGCCAGTTAGGGCTATATAGGGGGTGGCATTAGCAGTTCTCCTATAATATTATTATGCATTGTGATTTGAATAATTTATAATTGTATAGGAATCGTTCTGATAATTGGCACATGGAACTATCCTGTTAATCTTCTGTTTATGCCTTTTATCGGTGCAATTGCTGCCGGATGTACTGTAATTCTCAAACCTTCCGAGCTTTCTGTACACACTTCTGCTCTCATATCCGAACTATTTCCAAAATATCTTGATCAAGATGCTTATCGCATTGTAAGTGGTGGTGCTGTCGAAACTACTGCTTTGTTGAAGCATAGGTTCGATCATATATTTTATACCGGTTCTGGCAAAGTTGGTAAGATAATTATGTCTGCAGCAGCTGAACACTTGACTCCTGTCACCCTTGAACTTGGCGGAAAAAGCCCAACGATTGTTGCAAGTGACGTAGATATTTCTATATTAGCTAAACGTATAATTTGGGGTACAATGTATAATTGTGGTCAGGTAAATTTCATTTCTTCAACTTTTTTATAATGTGCTGCAACTAATTTCGATTTCATTTTTAATAAGACTTGTATTGCGCCTGATTATATGATCTGCGAAAGATCGGTTCAAGATGCTTTTATCAAAGAAGCGCCTAAAGTGTTAGAACAATTTTATGGTCTTGATCCTCAAAGCAGCACTTCTCGTTATTGCCGTATAATCAATAAGAGCCATTTTGATCGATTGCAAAATTTGTTGAACCAAACTAAGGGAAGAATCGTACATGGCGGCAATTTCGACAAAGAAGATTTATATATCTCACCTACAATAGTAGCAGATGTTCCTAAGGAAGATAAGTTAATGGAGGATGAAATTTTTGGCCCCATTTTCCCTATTGTCGTTGTTGAAAATCTTGACGAGGCGATTGAATATGTGAATTCAAAAGATATTCCTTTGGCTCTTTATCCTTTTAGTAAAAGTGATAAAACTGTTAAGCACAGTAGGTTTAATCAGCAATCTCCTATAAATATAATCGTATCTATTTGCGTATTTTGTGTTTAACTATATTTAACTTGCGTTAGTTCTTGATAACACTCGATCTGGCGGTGTTGTTATTAATGATTGTCTTATGCACTTCACTGGTATGCTAAATGTGATGTGAATGAAATTTGTTCTCTAACAATTTCATAAATTTTAATCCTTTTCCTATTGATTATCTCATCTTTTAGTAAAAGATTTACCATTTGGTGGCCAAGGACCATCTGGGATAGGAAGTTATCATGGCAAACGGTCCTTTGACACTTTTTCTCATGAACGATCCGTTATGACCACACCATTTGCCATGGAGAAACTTGTTAAAGCTCGTTATCCACCATACACTGAATTTAATATGAAACTTTTATTCTGGTTGTTTTTTAGTAAACCTAAAAAAACTAGAAATATAGCCTTTAAAGGCATATTCGGTGCTGCTATTATGCTTTTTATCGTTTATGGAATCAGGAAAATAATACTTTAATCAAGTCTATGAAAAGGTTCACACTTAATGACTATCCAAATATTGCCGAAAATACTCTATCATTCCTATTTAATTTAGCTGGCGATGATCAAAATCGAAACTCAAGTCTATTAGGTTACTTCTTGATGTACATAAACATTATTTTAAGGGACTTCTAAGAGGTATAGTTATTCGCAAAATAATTAAATAGTTTTATTATGAAATTTAAGGTTGGAGAGTGTTATTAGCCATATTGTATACTTTAATGTTCGAAGTTTTTTTTAGCTTGTTTTATTCAAGATTAAGCTTTGTTCAACTTTTTATATTAAAAACTAGTGTGATCTAGTATTATATGCAAACTAGGGCTAGTCGTCTTTAGTCTATTTTTTTGTAGTCTATTCTTAATAGAACTTATTATCTATTACCTATTTAAATGGATTTGGGGTTTTACAGTAAGCAACTTAGAGAATTTGTTGATTTTCTTCAATATTTCGTTATTAGTTGATTAAACTGATTAAGCTATCATATAATATTAATTTGGTTAATAATTTGTCTTGGTCACTGTCATTATGTACTTTTATTTGATGAAAAAGTTTTAACAACTAGACTGTATAATTAATTTCTTGGTTCTATAATATTGGAATTTGAAAACAAACTGTTTATACAGCTTTTTTAAATACAATGTATAAAAGCTTTATAAATTTTTTTGGTATTTATCTAGTCGTTCAAATATAGATAGGTTGTATGCTGAGAAAAGAGATCAAATCAACAATTTTTTCAAAAATCTTTTTGAGCTTAAATTAGCATAGATACATTTTTTATTTAAGAAAAAATACTGTTGTCTTAATAAAATTTTGTAATATATCTCTTTAAAATTTGTATATATATATATATATATATATATTTTGTATTAAAACCTCTGCCTTTGGGGAGTGATCTTTATTCAAGTTTTTGTCAGACATAAGTGCCTCCAGGGGCCTCTTATATTGGAGATTACAACTAGTCACATGTGCACTTTTGGTGCCTAATTTAAGTAGTTCGCCTAATATATTACTATATAGGTTCTACATTAGATGTCATATCTGCAAGCCAACTACGGGCCTTGCCTATTTAACCCTTTGCATATACAATCCTCTTGTATCACAAAAACATAATTTCTGATTCTTATCAGTACTTTTAGGATTACTTTATTTTTAGCAAAAAACTTACTAAAGCCTGTTATATCTTACATATATTGACCTAGTTTTATGCAATATGTTATAGTTACTTAATTTTATTTTTATAAAATTTACTAGGATCTCAGTACTCTTCTTTTTGATATCTTTTTTATTATTCTTTACTAATCATTACCTAGAACTGACAGATTTTGGTTAGACTACCAATTCAGATGGTCTGATATGATATGCTTTTATATCTTTTTTCTTTAATGAATTCAGTAGCCTGGTTGGTTATGTATTTCTCTATATTATTTTGTATTTAGTTTATTCAATCTGTTCTTTGAAAGTGATTTATAGGTTTCAACTAATTCAATTATATTATCAAAAGTTTATTTTATCTCTTTATTTGGAAATTTTTAAGTAAGTTTTTGGTTTCTTAGTTTTTTAGTCTTCTATGTCTAGTAGTCTTATTATGGGTTTGCATTAAAGTTTTATATAATATTGATTAATAACATTTTTTTTTATACATATAATGTTACATTTTATATAAATATCTAAACTTCTAATTATAAATAAAACCTGACTTGGTATATCTAAATTACAGTCATATAAAGCTAACTAATTAACAGAAGATAGTTATTGTAATACAAATTAATTTTCAAATTTTATTATAGATAAGTTTTAAACATTAGATTTTTATTTAAAAAATAATAATCCAACCATTATACTAGGATCACTATTCTCAAAATTTGTATTTTTTATTATCTATTATAAAATTTATAATATAAAAATTAATTATTCATAAAACTTTTTTTTATTAATTTAGTTTTTTTTTTTTGGTATTAAGGTAACCTTTTGGGTCTTTTGCCTTTATTTAATAATAATAAATGTAGTTCAGTAAACCTATACATGGGGGTCGAAATTATTTTTCTTATGATGAAAATTAAAATAGCAAAAATCATTTTTGATAGTCTAAAGTGTAAATAATTTAGAGTATTGAAATTATTTTAGAATGTCATAAATATTTTAGAGTGTCATAAATATTTTAGAGTGTTGTAAATAATTTTGAGTGTCAAAATTATTTTAGAATGTTATAATGACGAAAATATTTTTAAATGACAAAAATATTTAAAAATGTCGAAATATTTTTTAATGTCGAAAATAAAAATGTAATTTTTAGATTAAATAATCTTAAGAAATAATTATTATGAAGGTTTTTACTGCAGCTTTAGTCTACTGAATTTTTTTAGTAAGGTTTGTTATTTATATATATATGTTTTATTTATATAGATAAAAAAAATTTTATATGAAATAGCTTTTTAAAGTTAGATAATATAAATCCATTATATAGAAATAATAAAAACTATAAAAATAGTTGAATAAGGAACTAAAAAAAACTTGGCTACCAAGAAAAAAAATAATTCAACTATTAAAAAATTAAAAAAAATAAATGAATAATACTAAAATATTTAAAGCTAAAACTAACAAATTTATACTTTACTTGTAGATATATTAATAACTTCATCGATATCATAATCCAATTCATCTTCCTCTAATTCTACATTACTATTGGTTGTTTCATTTGTTTTTTCTTCTAAAAAAGTATTGAAATTAAACATTTTTTCAATTTCTAAATCCCTATTATTATACTGCAAAAGATCATCCAAATTTTCAGTATCAGATATATAATCGACATTAGCTTCTTCACTTTCTTCTTCATCATCAATAAACATATCATCATCAAACTCAACCATATTTGCATAATTTTCAATAATTTTCTCAAAGTCAGATTCAGAAATAGCATGATTAATATAATTAAGTTTTTTTTGAGCATTGGTTATATAATAGGTATGTATTTTTGCTATATTTGATACTTTTTCAACAGTAATTCTATTATAAAAAGTATAAATTAAGTAATTAATAATAATAATTAGATTAATTACTTTGTGTACTAATTAGATTAGTTTATTGTAGTTTGCAAAATTAGCACTCAAAAAATGTGTACCAGATTGCTTCTAAGCTACGAATCAAATTTTAAGATTTGGTATAATGTAATATGATCAGGAAGATTTAAAACATATGTTCATTCTGCCAAAAATCAGTTATAACTCAAAAGTCAGCACAAGAACCCACCTTTTGTGCTCTAATAAAAAGTTTTTGTTAGACAATTTTACTATTATATCTATTATTACTAATTCCTAACCTTGACCCTAATCCTAACCTTAATGAATTTTAAGAATTTTGTCTGCATCACAAATTCAGTACATATTTTCTGAGTATGCAAAATTATACAAAACTAATTTAATTATAGTAAATTACAATAACAATTAGTTTTGAATTATTTAAACTAATCTACATTAGCAAATTTTAAAATTGAAATTCTTTTGAAATATTTTACATCAATCGAAATCTTTCGAAAGAATTTCAATTTTAAAATTTGCTAATGTAATTAGAGTATGATTAAATAATAAATATTAAACTGAGTTTTAGTATAATTATATATTAAATTAATATTTGAGATTAAAATATTTACCTGCTTTGTCTTTTCTGTGTAATCCAATTTAAAATTGAAAATATATGCTTACAACTTGCACTATGTAGAGTAATTGCTAATAAATGTAAAGCAAGTTTTTGTAAATAATGATTAAGCATTTTACAACCATTCTACCAAGTTTGTGATGATTCAATACTTTCTATAAAAGTATAATTATAAGGTAGCTCAAATGCATCATACATTTTTATTTGTGCTACAAGTATATTAGCACTTGCTAATCCATTTCCAAGTTTTTTCCAAATTTCAAGAGCTGTATACAAAATATCTTGAAATACTAAACTTTTTATACTCTTTCCACAATATTTAGGATGGAAAAAGTAAGCTAAAAGATAAAATTTTATATTGAATTCTTTCCAGTGCTTGTTATAAAACTGAATACATTGCTTATGAAATTCAATACATTCTGTTAAATCATTATTTTTAAGTGCATTAATAGCTATTGCTATTTGAATTAAAAATAAAAAAATATCTGCAGTTGTGGTTACTTTAGATTCTGCTATTTTAACTGCATTTTTAGCAAGAGCTAAAACCTTTGCTAATACTTCTGCATTTGCTCAAAATTGATGATCACGTATAAGATTTTGTAATTCTAATATTATAGTTGAATTGTTATTGTCTAAAATCTAAAATAGAATTATTATTAATTATCATTATTATTATATAAAGTTTAATATATATATTTTAAATAGATTACCTGTTTAATACAATTTTTTAAATTGAGAACTGATTGTACACAATCATATGCAGATGACCAACGTAAACAAACAGAACTTTTTAACCCCCTTTATTTATCATAAAATTAATTATTTTATTATGCAAAATTGTGCCAGATCGATGAGATGCATGAAAATATATAACAAATGATTGTCATTGTTGTAATACTTTTTTTCCAAATGAGGTTTTGCAGATTATATCACTACAAATTAACTGAATATGGTGACCAATACACCAAACTGGTAATATTTTAAGATATTTATCAGAAATATATTGCTTTGCTAATGATATTGCAAATGCACCATCAGATACAACAGCACCAAATTTATTAATACCAATATTAATTAAAACCTTTTCTATTTCATCAGCTGTAAAAATTGCCATATGAGAATTGATAGAATAATCTTTTATCGAGTACACATATTGCTTTTTATTAGAAGTTATAATAATAAAAGCAAAATATAAATGTTCACGATTACTAGTCCAACTATTTAAAGCTAATAATATAATATAATAATATAAATTTATGAAATAAATAAATAAATTTATAAATAAATAGATTATACCCAATGTGAGGTTATTTTCATTTTCAAGTTCTTTCTCAATTGCAATTGTTATATGTGCTGTTTAATAATTAAGCCAATCATTACTTAAAGTTTTTCAATCAGGTAGTTTATATGAGACGCATAAATTTTGACAAAAATCCAAAAAAAATGGACTTTCAACAATTCAAAAAGGAATTTCACAGCATACTAAGAATCAGATTAAGGCTTTATTACATAATTGTTCTTGTCCAGGGTCCATTATACTGATATTTTGAAATTTGCTATCAATTCGTGGTTGTACACCACTAGCAATTTCATGTATAATTTTTTTTTTTTTGGTACAGGAAAATTGCGTAAGCAATCTTGTTTAATATTAAGTGGTGCACTTTGACAAATAAGCCCTAAATGGGCATGCATATTTATATCAGATGCACATAAGTTTTCTTCTTGACAATAATTATATTTCCAACCTTTATGCCCACTTTCTTAATGATTAATTTCAACAAAATGATCCTGAAGTGGATTTTTTGGCTGCTCTTTTTTATTTTTTTTGTTTGTTTGAACAACATGATCCAATTCTTCAGTATCTACTTCTGATAAATTTGCTATGCTAGGTTCTGAATTCTCTTTCTTTATTTAGATTATAGTATAAGTTCACTTATAAAAAAAAAAAAAACTACTGCTCATTTATAAATAAAAAAACTATTGCTACTAAAACATTACAAATTGGTATCTATAGTTATATTTAAATATTTAATCGATTCGATATTTAATCAATTCATTATCTATCAAAACCAGTTTTTAAAAACAAGATTTATATTAATTTATAGTTTGCAAAAAAAAAAAATAGATAATAAGATAATGATAAAATACCTGATATATTAAACTTGTAGTTATTATTATTTTGAATTACTTTAATGATCTCAAATATAGTTTGATTTTGGAAGATAACTAAAAATATTTTTTTTCAATTTTAGCTGGCTTTTTTTTTTAACTCTTTATTGTTATTATCATAATTGAATTATTCATATCAATGTATAGTAAGTATTGTCATAATTTAATTAAGTAAATCATGATTATAATGTAATTATTAGAATAGAATGTGCCTCTAATGTGATTAGTGTCAAAGCCACATGGATATTGAGAGGCTAAGATTAGAGTGAAAGCTTAGAAGTATAGCCTGTCCAAATATTTATCTATTCATCATATTTATTTAATTGTATATAGCTTAGAGGATTAGACATAATCAAAGCTTAGACCAAATGTTCAGAATTGATTAAAGACATCCTTTAAGTGAGAATAGGTTAATGACTCATCCAAAAGGTTTAGAGGTGAACCAAAACATGTAAAAGCCTTATCTCTATATGTCTCAAAAGTATAAAAGAGCCATTTGTTCACTCTTCTAATAAAAGACAGACTTCAATGCCTTTAATATAGAAGTATTAAGAATTGATTTCTCGATGAGAAACTTCGATTGCTTGATTATACAAATTATAATAAGAATCAGAATCTCATTTGTTATATAAGTTTGAGTATAGTATTTAGTATTGTATTATTGTTATTTCCTTATACTTTTATTATTCTATTTCCTTATCATGAAGGAACTTCACAATCATATTACGTATTACATTGTATTATCTTATAATTACCCCTGATAAGCATAGCAAACATGAAATCTGATTGGATTGATGATCAAATGTTATACAATATTAGCCACATATTAGCATAACATTTCACAGCACAAAAATGGATTTGCAGCCATAAGGACAAATTCGCAGAGGTTAAGACAAAAAAAATTATAAAGCACATATATTGCTTTATAAGCTGTCAAAGTAATTTGGTATTCTGCAAAGTAATTCAGAAGTTAGCTTAGAGAGGCTTTTTTTTATTCATTACAATAAGCAATTCATTAGAATAGAACTAGATACAAAATGAACACCTAACAACCTACGATGAAAGATTTGCTCTTTCAAGCGAAGAAAAAGGAAAAATAAAGGCTCAGTACTGTGATTTAGAGGGCCAAGATGATGTCACTTGCAATTATAAACAGTTCAACACATCTCTTGTTTCTGATCAAGTTGTAATTCCAAGTTCTAGTCAACACTTGGACTTGGTTGGCAAAGCACTATGCCGAAAACACTATAATAAGTTAATAGCAAATGCAAAAAAACCAAAAACTAACACATGTTCTTACCCTAAGCATGAATTATATAGATCTACGACTAAAAGTAAAGGAAAGAAGTTCAAGAAGACTCCAAAGCGGCTAGTTGAATTTTTTGGATTACTATCAGAGATAACAATGTGCCACTATTACTTATATAAAACTGACAAAGATCCTGAGTATATCAATATATCAAATTATCAACAAGCTAAAGAGAGGGTTCTAAAAGAAAATTTGAGACAGGTTAAAGGTAGGTCATATGTTTTGCATGCTGATGTTTTTTATTCTGAAGCTGAATTTCAGGAACTGGAAGCTGCATACAACGAAGTATGTGCAGAGCTTGATGAAACTAAGTTAGGTAAGCCAATAGCTTTTTTTTTTTTTTTTTTTTGTTCATAGTTTTGTAGTTCTTTTTAAATACTTTCTCATACAATTAATATTTTTAGAATTAATTCCTTTAAGTAAAAAGATCAAATTAATGTCAGAGGTATTGTATACAAGGCAGCGAGCATTTAATAAAAAGCCTATTTTAGATCCAGAAGAATTTAAAAAAATGCTCGAAGAAGCTGAGCCATCGTTGAAGGGTTTCTTTAATTAATTAGTAGCTGGGACTAACCTGCAAAAAAAAAATAATATGACTAATGAAAAAAATAAAAAAAGATTAGTTGCATTTTGTTATTTTTTAGCAGAGTTTAATAATGTTTATTAACGGAATTAAGGCAGATGTTGGATTTATGTTAGATGCATCTGGAACTTCTTCATCGGCAATAAAGACATTAGCTGGTGTGGGCTTGGCAGTAAGACATATAACTATTGCAAGGCAGAAGGCTCAGTGTTTAAAAGAACATGCAACGACAGTAGAAAAATTTTTAACTAATAATATAAATATATAAAAAATTTTTTTTTTTTTTTTTTTTTTATAAACATTATAGGGTATAAAGGTTTTGTTTTACAAAGCAATAATTAATAAATTAATTTTTTAATAGAATGAAAATTTGGTCATCCTTAATGTGGATGATTTCTATAATATCCACGAATACCATCATTATGATGTAACAAATATGCATGATATTGCCTATTTTGTTATAATACTTTTGAAAGCAATTCCAGAAGTGGCTTCTATTCCATTTTACAACCCCCCATAATCAAGAAAAAAATATTCACAATGAAGGGGGTATTGATGCAAATATTATTATATCAAATGCTAATTCATTTTTCTTTCCTTATTTATGGTTTAGTTATACAGGATGAAAGCAGGCATTTACAGATTTGATACCTATGTCAGAGATTCATGATGAATGAGTTGAGTGGTTTTTAATTCATAGCTATGACAACAGAATCAAACAACACTGCACTGATCAAAGTATGGAGAATACAAAGCTGGTTGATCTAAAAAAAGGGTTTCTTAAATCAACTGAAGATTATGTAGATGCGGTTAAACACTTAATAGATAATCCTGAAATAAAAACCTACTTGGAAACACAGGTATTAGTAGCACCTATGGACTATCCTGAACAACTTCATATACAGCGTGCCATTGTACATCACATCAAAGCTATAAGATCTGGAATACCAGAACATATTTTGCATATTGTTCTAATGATTGGCCATTGCATATATCTTTAAATAGTTATGAAACTGTTTTTTTGTTAAATTATGAATTTTTTGACTTATTCTTTCATAAAATATTTAGAGAAAATAAGGTTTTGGCAAAAAAGCCAAAACCTTATAAGATTAATTTGCTTTTAGAATTAGCATCTCAGGGTTGGTCTCGAGTGTGTTTACCAATTTTATGGAAATTCGAATGGTATAAAGATTTAGAAGCAAGATATCTTATTAACTTGTTAGACAATGTTATTCTGTTGGTTTTGGATTTTTATCCTATTATATTTCATAGTGGAAATTGGACAGTATATTTAGAAGCCATGTTTCGCATTTGGACTATCTTTCAGCAATATCAACATCGACATTACAACAAATTGCCATTAGCATTTTTAAGTGATGTTTTTTTTTGGGTTAATACTAATTATCCAATCTTATATATTCTTTCAGATTCTATTCTTATTTTTAACGATTATTATGTAGAAAACTTTCATAGTTCTCTTCGGTGGCAAATTCAGGAATCAAATACGACAGAACAAATTATTCAACAGGTGTGGGCAATCGATCAGATGCATGGTGGAAATTCATTTAATATCACATTTTTTGAGGGTCATAATATTAGATATTCAACTAAACAGCTGAAATATCTTAAAAAGAGAGTTGCACTTTTTTTATTAAATCTTTTTACAGATGTATATACAAATATCAGTAAATCGAAGGCTGTCTTATCTGATGAAGATTCTGAATCTGAATTGTATGAACTTCTAACATTGAAGGCTAAAATTGATGCCAAGGTATTGCCAATGGCTTGGAATATGGTTCACCCTTCTCGAAAAGACAGGCACTGTAATTTGGAAGGTTATATAGACCCTTGTGAGATAGGTTGTATTTTAATATGTGGACATACTTATCATTATGAACATTTTTTATTTAATTTAGAAAGTCAATGCTGATACTGTACTGACTACCTTATAAGTGGAATTAAGAGTAATTGTAAAGCTTTTCAAAAAACTTTGGAGTCAACCACTATGATAAAAATAGATGAAAATGTAAATGAGGCAAATAGAGCAAATAGA